GCAGCAGCTCGAGGGTGTCAAATTTCTCGCGCACTACAGCATGGTGAGCTGGGGTTCTGCTGAACTGATCCACATCATGAACGATCGCATCCCCTCCAACGTCCAGCAGCATTCGAAGAGCCTCCAGGTCTCCTCTGTCCGCGGCGATATGCGCGCATGTCAAACCCTCACAGTCCGCTGCTCGAGCGGCTCCCATGCCCCCGTGGCTCAGGAGGGTTTTCAGCACGTCGAGTCTTCCAGTCCTCGCGGCCCAGTGAGCGCACGTCCTCCCCTCCCGGTCAGCCGATGAGGCAAGACAGGCTCCTCCTACCCTCAGCACGAGCTGTAACAGTTCCTCGTCCTGCAGATCGGCGGCTGCATAGAAGATGTCAGCGAGGATGCTGCTCTGAGAAGTCTCAGCGGCGAGATCCAACGCTGTCTTCCCGTCCTCTCGCTGCGCCACCACCGCGTCCCGCAAGCTCCTCCCCTCGACGAGGAGGTGAAAGACTTCGACGTGGCCCCTGCTGCATGCGAGGTGGACGGCAGTCGCTCCTGCTGCATCCTTGAGGTCAACGTTGGCCTTGTGCAGCAGCAGGAGCTTCACGCACTTGTCGTATCCCATCAAGGAAGCAGACTGCAAGGCTGTCTTCCCGTCCTTGTCAACCGCATCCACCTCCTTCCCAGCTGCCAGCAGCCTCTCCATCCCCTGGATGTCTCCACTTGCCGCCGCCGACGCCAACGGCGATTCTCTCGTCTCCATGACGTCACCAATGGCCTCGAGCATGCGCGAGCGCTCGAAGATCTGGTCGGACAACCTCGCCTTCTCCTCTCCTGCCGTCTCGCTGCTGCCTGCCCGCGAGTTAAGGAGAGCGATAATGTGTCTCCCTACGACGACGAGGGAGTCCTGGTTGTACCAGTCCCTCTCCCTCACGCAGTGATCGAACTTGTCAGCGCACATGGCAGCGAGGTAGACAGCAAGCTGCATGGCGCTGCGTAGTTCTTCTCGTTGTTGAACCAAACATCATCTCTGCTCAGGTAGATCTCCACGACTCTCTCGCAGTCTGCCTGAGTCTGCAGCCGAAGGGAGTCCACCTGCCCGACTTGGAGCGAGGAGTCTTGGCTGAGAACCTCCTGCATCTTCACCTGCAACATCCTCCTCACGTCTCCTCAACATTCCTCATCACAGCGACGTAGAGGTTCTTCCGTCGGGAGATCATGTCTTCGATGGTTGAGCACGACGAGTTCGTGCTGATCTTGGTCGGCACTACCCGAACGAGGAGCTGGACTACCTTCCCTTCCTCCAACGCATACTTGACCAGCTCCACCCGCGGCTTCCCCACGACCTCAAGGTACGAGAGGGGAGGATACAAGATCTCGTCCTCTCCTGGGTACTGTGAGAGAAACCGCAGGGAAGCCCCACGATCGACTGCTCCGCAGGAGATTTCGAAGAGCGTCGGAGCTTGTC